CTTCAGGTAATTACCTGAACAGCAAAGCGGGAGTGGTATACAGCAACGTGTTGCACCCCATCCAAACCTGGCAGAAGACAAGGACACAGAGACACTCTCAGGTCCAAAGGATGGGCACATTAACAACTATCCGGACTGCATGCAGACACCTGCGATGTCCGGTATCTGTTGCCTCTGTAACCTGTTTTATTTTTGTAGGGTTCTGCTACTTTTGTTGCTTTTCCTCCCTCCAATAAACCACATTTGGTGGGAGCTGGGGCTGGTGGCTGGCTGACTGCTGTGGTCCCAGGGGCAGAGCTGACGGACTGGTGCTGAGTGACTGGAGGAGATGCTGAACTTCTGACTGAGCACTTCTGACTGCAAAGACTGAGCACGTCTTTGCCCAGAGGTGTGACTGGGGCTTCCTTGGCTGCCTGGGATCAACTGTGCCACTACCAGCTGGAGGTGAAGAAGAAATGTCCCCGGGCAGCGCTCCTTCTGACAGTGGCTGCAGGGGAGGGTGGCAGGGGCCTGGGTTAGAGAGCACAAGTCCCTGTCCTGGGGACTGCAAAAGCCAGCCAGGGTATCTCCTGTAATGGTCAGATGGTCATTCCCCCAACAACAACTCCAGAAATCAGGGTGGTACTGGGTGTGAGCAGAGAGCCTGGGAAACAAAAAACTGGGAAGACAGTCTGGCTCATCCTGCTGGCTCTCTGAGCTCGGTTTTGGATTTGCCTGTTTACCTGCTCACGGCAGGCGTTTCTGGCTCCTTCTGTTTTGTGCACAGAGCAGGTATAAGAAATCCCTGCGGTGTATTCCTTTCCTTCTTGGCAGGCTTTTCTGGATGGGCTAGTGTGTACAGAAAGTCAGTAGTCTGCTTCAAGAGCCAGCCCTATGTTGCCTTTTGAGGGCAGGGCTCAAAAGCCCTTTGTGCCTGTGTGCACACCTGGTTGTGCCTTTCTTTTGTTCACTGCTTCTGCATGCAGAGGCTGAGTCACAGCATGGTCGGCAGGTGCCAAGGGCAGCCTGTTTAAATGGGTCCAATAGTTCATGCATGTGACAAGGTTTTGAGGGAGGTGAGGCTGGTGAGTGACCTTTTTTTTTTCCTTGGCGGCTTTGTAAAATAAACAGGAGTTTTTAGAAGCACTCCCTGCATAGTTTTGCTTCTCTTTCCAATTGGAATAAAAGTACCAACTGGTGCGAGCTTGTGAAAATCTGGATTTTTAGTTGACCTACCTTCTTACCAAAGGGAAAATGGGGATGGAATTCAGCAGCTTCTTACAGAGTTACAGGCTTCCACTTAAAAAAGAAAGTGTAAGTTTCTTGCCCAGTTTATGAACAAATACAAACAAATCCCACGAATACATAACAAATCACACTGGTTTTTTTTATACTGCAGTCTGCTAAGGGTCAAATTGGAGCTGTAGGAAACAGCATTGAAGTTAAAATAAGGAAGGTGACTAGGATGTTGCCTGCTATTCTGTTTTATGCAGCAGTTAATTTCTTTTATTCTCCCTTCAAAACTGCATTTGTTTCTCCAGGGAGCTCAGAGCAGTGCTGGGCCTCAGGTGTGGTGGACCCAGAGATGAGCAATTCTCAGAAAAGGGAAAGCTGTAGGGAGTAGGTTTTTGCGGTCTGTGTAATAGAGCTTAAGAGTTGAAGCAGTGAAGTTGGATACTGCTGAGTAGTCGGTAGCTTGGGGTTTGGATCCTACCTACAGTAGCCTTGGGTGCCAAAAGAGATAGGAAGTCTCTCCCCTTTCCAAGTGGTATCTGTCCAGCTTCAAAGATGAGACCCGTGCAATATTTGTTCTGGCAGTCCCTGCTGTGGTCCAGCCTCCAGTTTTCTGGCTTAGATAGCAAATTTGCCAAGCACTTCCCAGGCTAGCAAGTAAGAAGCTGTGATTGTTGTCAAACTGTAAGAGTGCTTTAAATCAGAGCTTTGGGTTTTTTTCATTTCCCAGAGAGAAAACATGAGTTAATAAAACCTGTCCTTGCAGCTAGTTAAATACAGTGAAAGTCATGTCCCCGCCATAATCTCTGATCAGCTTTGTTGCAATTTAGTGCTTGTCTCCAAGTTTGTTTGATTTAATCATACTCTAGAAAAATGTCTACTGAAAAGAGCTGCTGTCTGAATCAGGGCCTTGGGAAACAGCCATGAAATAAATGATAGAGCAGGTGCTGGGCTGTACACGTCTGCTACTAGTTGCAAAACATGGGAGGAGGAAATTTTTCTTCTCCAGATCATGCAAGAGCCCAGTAGACATCAGGAAAATGTTAAAGCTTAAATTGCTTTGAAGAAGGAACGTAAAGCAGCTCTAAAAGGTTGGTGAGTATGGCGGTGAGTGCGCAGCCTGGCAGCAGTCTGCCAGAGAGGTGGGTTGGGGTGCAGGCATGAAAACTTATGTATCTCCATCCCTTGAGAGGTCTGCTCACTGAGGTCTCACTGAACACTCTTGGTACAGACACCGAACATGCCCTGTATACAGCTGCCCAAGCTGCGGATACTCTCTAGGGTTTTCTCTTTTCATTTTTGTGAATAGCAGAGACTTCTGAGAGGCTATATTTGATGCTTTATGGGAGACACTGTGTCCTTCGTCGGATATATGCCATATGACTGGGCTGGTGTCTGTTACTCCCTAAAGAAGGAAGATGGAGTCTGGCTCATTAGTAAAGATCGGGACAAACACATGTCACTTTGCACAAGGCAAAAGCCTGGGGCATTTGTTGTTCCCGCACCAATCTGGAGTGCTGCTTTTGTATGTCCTGCTTTCAGCTGTAGTGATCCCTAGAGACTTCCTGAGCAGCAAAATCCCATAAAAAGCAGCACTGCACAGGGCAGGTGTTCGTTTTCAGAGGTCATGACCCAATCTTGTAGGCATTTGGGCCAGAGAGCAGCAAAAGGCATTTCTGATACCCCAAGGCAGGTTTTTGCTATGTTTCAAAAGCTCATCCAACCATCTGGGGAAAAAAAATGCTGCTTCTGAAAAAATGGGGAGGTAACTGGGGAAGAAAATGCAGCCTCTTTGCCTTATATGTGGAAGTAGTTTTCTGGCTCAAAATGTAAGATATTTTAATCATAGTAGGAAGAAAAAGACAAGTCTACGAATAAGAGGGGGGCTTTGGTCAAACCATTAGAAACATAGTGGCTTCTAATAGAAAATACTGGGTGACCCCAAGGAATCTGTCAGCATCAGCTTGTGCAGAAAAATGGAGGTGTGTCTAATTCTGCTGGACTGCTGGCTGCATGGTAGGAGAAATGTTAGCCCTTCCTTTTGCTTTCTTCCTGCAGGGTGGTCTTAAAATCTCTTGATAGCTCTCACCTGAAAATTAAGCAAAGTGCCTACAAACTGCCAGCAATGCCCTTTCCTTCACCTTTGTCTAGCTGTTTGCCTTTGGATCAGAGCTCCTTATACAGGAGCTTCAAGTTTGGTGAAGATAGGATAAATAGAAATAGGCAGTGAAAACTCCAGAGTTGGAAATATTTCATCATGTTGCTGTGAGTAGCACAGCAAAGCCCTGTTAGCAGTGGGGACCTCTCTCTGCTAGCTCAGGGTAAGTAGGATGTGGGATGATTCCTCCTGGTGGTCATATCTGTTCTGTTGCTCTGAGAAACCTACTTTTATGGTACACTGTGACTAAAAGTTGTTTTATGTGTAGCATCAGCGTGAGGCGAATTGTACCAGTATGTTTGACCTGCTTGCCTATGGTTCAGTCGAGCCAGATTTTCACAGAGTTGAATATTAAGGATCTTCAAGTAGATCTTGCAAGATTCGGAAAGGAGCCAGTGGATCACAGGATGAGCAGTGGGATATGCTCATGGAATTCTCGTTGCAAGTTTAGCTGTGGCATATGCACAAGACTAGTTTCAACTCTTCAGTTTTCCAAATTATTTGTTTTGGGTCAGAGTTAAGGCTATTTAAATGCTAATGTTTCTGTTGAGTGTGTCATAGCTATTATAGTATGTGATTTTTCAGGCTTGTTCATACTTGATGTGCTACTTTTTGGTAATCATGTGCATCAACAGTTCTTCTACACGTTAACATATTTTGAGGCTGTGTAGGAGTTATGTGCCAGAGGGAGTAAATCTAGCTATGTATATAAGGTAAATTACAAATGTGGATTATAAGTGTGAGAATCAGGGACATTCCATACCAAAATACTTCACTTGAGTCAAGTGGCCTATTTGAAGAACTCCATTAGCTTGTAGTAATAGCAGGCATTTATCCATTGTATGCATCAGCTACTGGAGGGCTGAAACCAGACACACTTATCCAAGTGATGTACCTACTCCCTCTCAAAAGAAATCCATCCCAACTGTCTGATATCCACCCAGGCTTAAGTCAGCCTCCAGATCCTTTTCTTCACAGGCTGGTATCAACAACAGAATTGTGACCTTTGGTGTCGAACCTACTGTCATCTTTCCTAAGAATTGAAAGAGTAACAATGTTAGCAGGCAGCAGTCCAAGACATTGATCTTCAAGTATGAAGGCTGCATATTATTAATTTTCTGTTTTGCACTTAGAAACAGAACATGTTTATGTTTGGGTGTGTGACTGGGGAAGCATTCAGGTGTCTGTGGGGCTCAGGGGCTTTGGATAGCTATTCTGGCATAGTTTTACAGGTAAGCCCATATGATGAAATCTTGGCCCCATTAAAGTCAGTGACAAAAAAAGTCTCACTGACTATCAGGAACTAAATTGCACCTTGGATTTCAAGGCTGTAGTCTCATGGCTTTTGCAAACGTAACAGGGTTATTTAAAAAAACAAACAAACAAACAAACCACAAAACCCAAAATCCTGCTTGAGAAAATGACTGTAGTCTCAAACCCTGCATTCTGGTATTTTTAGCTTAGATGAGATTTCTGCTCAAGACTTTTGCGTTACCATGAACAGATACGGTACTGCCTTGATCAGAGACAGCTTGCTTGCTGGTATTAGTTAGGTAGTTTTCCTCAGCATATTAATTTTTGTGTAGCAGGGGTCAAACAATAATCCAGTCTCATTTCTCTCCCTTTGCAGGCCCTCTACAATTCAATCAAGAATGAGAAGCTGGAGTGGGCAGTGTAAGTATACTGCATAGAAATTAGCTTAAAAATAGTACCTGTGTAGTAATCTGTTTATACATCGTGTGTCACCATCTGAGTGGGCTCCAAAGCTTTTAGAAGATAGCCAGTGTACATAATGAGCTTGCTTTTCTGTTAATGAATGACCTGGCAATACTGCCTCATCTGTTTCTCCAGCAAGGGGAGTTGTTGGTAGGAGCCAACTGCATTTGTAAGGAAAAAGGATGTTTCATTTAGTAGGAAACTTCAGCCTGAAAAGAGAGAAATTAAATCCTCCATTGTTCTATGACTGCATAAATAAAACAGAAGTTGACTTCTCCCTTTATCTTTCAGTACATTGTGTCAGAACCACTGAATAGAAACACACATCTTGGATTGAGTTTCCTGCTGTTGGTTTATTGTCTTGGTTTGTCTCCTGATTAACTATGGATAACTTGACAACAACATAATATGAAAGATGATAAATTGGACAAAGTCTGATATCCCCTGTAGTTCAGGTGCTTTCGACAGGCTAACACTTCTTAACTATGGGAATACTGCAGACAAGAAAGAGCTTCAATTTCTGATTGTGTTAAATTGACATTCCTCTGTGCTTAGGTTTTATGTGGTCTAGGTATGCCAGCAGAGTAGAAAGGTCTGCTTTAGATTTTGCTACTTGCAGAACAGTGGATTTCAGTGTAAAATAAAAGAATGATGTCTTTTATCTATTTTGGCTGTACAAGATGTTTACCTGCGTGGATTTACATATCTGAAATCTCACCTTCTTGAGAACAATGTATGTCTGGGATGCATGCTCCTGCACCTTTTGTGCTAGAAGTCCTAACAACTGCCATAGGTCTTGCAGGCCCATTGGCTTCTGATCTGCCTTGTTTTAAGTTCATCATCTGCAAATTAATTTCTTGTCAGGGTGTGCATCCTCACTTGCAAGGCCTGCTGGTCCCAACTTTGATTGCAGCCCCTGTTCAGAAGTGTTAGATGCTGTCAGAGTAGTGAGGAAGGTGTGCTGGTAAGAGGAATCACCAAGAAGTGCCATCTCTGATGAGTGTCATAAGAAGCATGGTGGGAGACGTTTTCCAAGACCATGTCTTGGACCTGGAATACACTGTGGGAATCTTACATGTCACAACAGCAGAGCTGTTTGCAAGACACTCTCTCACAGGTACTTTAGACCCAGCAGAATCCATTATGTGACTTTCTCGATGGCAGAATTTTCCTCCAGTTCTTGGCAAGAGATCATACCGTGTCTAATACACTTGGGCAGCCTCCAGGTGGGAACTGGCTCATGCCTGGCTCTGCTCCCATGAGCTTCAGTCAAGGTGCTTTATGAGTAGTTTGCTCCTGTATAAGTAGTAACTGCTTCAGCATTTACACAGTCCAGTCCATATCCCTTGCTAATGAATTATTTGGGGAAAAATTGCAAGCAGGCTGGGAAAGGGAGAAATCAGAATCCTCCTTAAATAAGGCTTTGGGATGTGGGCGTAAAGCCACTTTCTCCCAGCAGAATGCTCAAAGTGGCCAATTGTCCATTCCAATCTGAAACTCAGACAGATAGGTGGGGTTGATGTGACAATTACTTTCCAGGCTATGAAAAAAAGCTCATTCTGGGCATAGTCAAAGAGGTTGTGCCTTTAGGGCTGAGAGTGCTGGCTGGAAGAGGGAGCGTGAGGATGTCTCTCCTCACTTTTACAGAGATCTGTGGTTGGTGTAAAGTAATTGCCCCAAGGAGCCCCAGCACTGCCTGACCTAGAGGGAGGAGGCACATCACTCTTGCTCTGCTGTGGTGGTCTGCAGAGAAAGATGGATAGGAAGGGGACATGGTCAGTTTTGCTGTGATGGGACTGAGGAAGAGCCTCTCTCCTTTCCAGAGAGTATCCCTTTGCTTCCCTGATGCAGTTGGCAGGGGAAGAAGTGGGAGGGAGGTAAGGCAAAGGTGGAAATAGGGCTGCAAAACCCAGAATAAGCTCCCTCGTGATGCTGGCATGTTGAAGGAATCCCTTTCCTCCAGCCAGAATCCCTTTGAGGATCTAAGACTCTCTCTCATGAGCTAAGCAACAGCTTAAGAGCTTCTCTGGCAGTACATTATTTGGTGGATTAATGACTGTCAGTAAGTCCATAGGCAGGAGAGGGTAACAGCAGCACGTAAGATGGGGGAAGACTGCTACATGATCCTTATCTTATTAGCTGCAATCTAGGTGTGTCATCATCCTAAATGGTTTGCTGTTCATTTCCAGTAGAATTACAGTCTGATCTAAAGCCCACAGAAAGAAAAGGCTACCATTGATTCCAATTTTGTAGCCAAGAGAAGTGGCGCCTTAATCAGCAGATGTGCTCCAGAGACTTACAGTAGGAGTATTCGTTTATCCTTTATGAACAGGGAAGCGCGAGTACAGCTCTGGAAGAGAGACTTGCATTACAGTTCTTTTTCTGCAGTAGTTCCAGGTTCAAGTTCTCCAAAAGGTTAAAAGCTAATTACATACCATGATCTGTAAAATAAACAGATCTGACCTCGAATTTACCCTGAACTGGTAAATGTGGGATCCTGAATGCACACTCCTACTCCGCACTGCAGCGCCCAAATTTTTTGGTTACTTTTCACAATAGAACCACCAGAAAACATTCTGCCATTTACTTGGCATGCCATTTACTTTGCTTGCCATTTCTTCTTGCCTACCTTGTTGTTCAGCATCCTGGGAGAAAAGAGAAAAGCAGTATGGGAAAACTAACCATCAGAAATATGATTATTCTGTCTTTTGTCCCATTCCATATTTCCTCTCTACTGCTTACAGTTCTAGATCTCTCCTGTCTGTTGGACTGCGGTTCATTTGTTGGAACAGCAAGTGAAGCACTAAGTAGTGATCGGACCTCACTGAAGTAATTGGCAGAAGTTCCTACTGACTGCAGTGAAGCCACATGCTGTTTCATCCAGTTAGTCAAATGCATCCTGTTTTCAGTGTGCTGAGGTCGCTGGAACCACCCCAGGAGTGCATGTAGCCCCAATAATTGTGTCGTAATTTCTCATGCTGCTTAAATTTCCCTGAGGGACTTGATATTTCAATGAGATTTTTTCATACTCGAATGGTAAACCCTTGTTCTTCAACCCTGACAAACCCTGTTCTTCACCCTTAAGATGAAATGAATTCAAGATCCTGTGAACATGAGCAGTGAGATTAAGAGTTGGGTTTGTTTAGGTGGAAAAGGGAGCACTGAGGAGAGGGACCTGGTTGTATTTTTTTCAGTGTGTAAAGGCTGTCTTAGAGGAGGAGGATGTAAATTATTCTTCACACCTGTTGTGGATGGGCTTAAATTTGAAAGAAGGGAAGTTTGGGTTAAACATTAAAAAAAGCTTTCTAGCAATAAGCCTTTTAAACGAGAGCACAAGTTTGCCTGAGCAAGCTATGGAAGTGCTTTCACTGGAGGTTTTTGTGAACCAGTTGTTCTGTCCAGAATGGGTTAGGAAGAGTAGATCCAGCCTCAGAGGTAGAGAGATGGATTAGCTGACCTCTTAACATTCCTTCAGTCCCATTGTCTATAATGTTATGGCCCAGGTTTTGGATGTTTCTCATCCTTTGGCTTTTGCACCAATCATCGTCAGCTTTAAGCTGAAGAAGAAAGATTAATTTGTTTTCAAAGGTGCCAGAGCTAAATATGTTGTTTGCGTGATGTCTACATGGAAGTGTGGTGGTGAACATTATTGTTCTCCATTGTTTGTAATATTATGGAATTGAAGGTGATAGGAAGAATAAAATCATCATCTTAAAATAGGCAGAATAGTGATCTAGAATTAACATATGAAATCCCAAAATGCTGCTTACAAAATTGGAAAGAACAAATGGCTGCATTTGAGCCAGTTGTATCCTGAAAGCTTTCCCTCAGCAAGTCAGTGTAGTTTTCAGGAGAATCACTTGTTTTTTGACTAGTTGATGATACAGTTTTCTTTCCAGAGAAGTTTAGATATGGACACAGTATATTCTTTTTTGTTTTTGTAGACTGCATTGAAAAATCCTCTCCTTCCAGCCAAAACAAAATAGGTCTTTGAGACAGTGATGGTGGGAAAGGGGCACTGCCAAATCCTTTCTGTGTTTCATGGCAATCCGTGACGCTGAGACCGGGGCGGTTATAAAGGCGTCCATGCTGAAGCTCACTTTTTTCTCGGTCAAACCCACAAATCGCTCCCCATTATAATAACTCTGTCTCCCAAGTTCTAGGATGTTTCCTGTTTGCAACTTCATGATTGGTTTTAGAGAGAGGTCAGGTGATAATCACCTGGCTCTCCTTTCTTCTCTCCTCCCTTTGGGAAAGATGCGAAAACTTCTCTCCACTGGTTTCTCAAGTCAATTTCCTAATACAGTTGCTATCAGTTCCACAGATTCATATAATTGTATGTTACAAACCTGAATATTTTCTTTAAATGCCAATTTTTAAATGGATAAACCCAGCCTTTTGCCATGTCATGTAAGTTTTCTATTTGAACAAATGAGACGAAGCAGACTTTTGAAAATGAAGGGCTTGACCCTGTCTTTCCAGCTTAGTGACTTCAAAGTTTTCCAAGGCAGAGCCTCAAATCAGACCGTAGAGCATACAGAAATGTTTTTGTTACTGAGAGAACCAGATGGTGGTTTTCTCCCAGAAGACAAAAATGGGACTTTCTTGTATAGGGTCTTTTTGGGGAGAAGCAAAAATATATTTCTTCACCAAAATGGCAACATCTGCATTTTTGCATGTGTTTCAAATCTACGTGTGTAAGAATAAGAGGCAAACTCCTTCTGGTTGTCAGTGATCGTGCATTTGGAAAGTAAAACACTGCTGTCTCAATGCTGTGTCTTCAGAATCTGCTTGCTCTATCACTTGGCTTTGGTGTGCTGCTTCACATGGGCAGCCGGTGCCCTGGTTACTGCTCTGTCTGCAGGTCCTTTTCCAAAGAGACAAGCTAAGGGAGGTGGAACTGAAGCTCCTTTGTTTTGGGAAACATTGCAAATATCACGTGCTGTAAGCAGTCTTGGAGAACTTCTACAGGTGGTAGCCTTTTCTTGTCACCAGTACACTGCAGAGCAGAGACTCTAGTAGGTCCCAGTTTCTGTGGATGGAAAGTGGGCCCTACAAGAGGGTTCACAGTCATCAGCCCCTTTCAGTCGTCGGAGAGGGGTCACCAGAGGAATCGCTTCCAGACCCAGAGCCAGGAATGATCTCCCTCTGCTGATCAAATCAGAAAATCTCTTAAGACTTCTGCAAACCGAAGTGGACCCTCGTGATGATGTTTTGCTACTGAACTGTGTGTTGGAACCAATGTGGGTTTTTTTCCCCAAAGGCACAAGGATTGTGCTATTTCCTGTACCAAATGGAAAGGAGAGGCACCGAGCCTGCCCCTGACAAGGACCTGAGCTCTGCCTGTGTGACACTAGATCCGTGACTCTGAACATACCTGCACAGAGACACTACCCACTGACTCTTACCTCTGCATCACTGGAGGCCTTCACGCTGGGGATGTTAGAGGACTTGTATCATCTGAGAGAGCCATCTGAAGATAGGGAAGTAGTTGCACCCCTCACAGGCTAGGGTTTCAAACAAAGATCAGTTTTCAGGTGTATGTGTCCAGAGGCCAGGTGAATTTTCTGCAGCTTTTCCTTCTTGCAACCGTACCCTAAAGGCTGGTGAGGAGTAAGCTCAAATTGTTACATCCTTGATAAAGCCTATCCAGGACCTATCTATTCAGCCAACTTTGGAGGGTATGTAAGCAAAGGCTAATACCTGAACTGTTTTGCTACTTTGAAACTCCTCCCAATTGTCCTGCTTTCTTCTTGTGCTTGACCACTGAAGCAACATGAAGTATTTGAAGAAGTGGGTCCCAGATCCCCTGGTTTTATTTCTAGTGGTGTTTCATATTCAAGATCAGAGGGAGATGGAGTCTCCTTTTAGTTCTTTTTTTCTCAGCTGTTCATCCATTTCTTGTTCTCTGTAATGAGTCTCCCTTGTCTCTCTGGTTCCTTTTGTTGCATCTTACAGACTGGCTCATGCATCTAGACCTCATGCATCTTGTCAGAGCACTGTCCTGGTTTTGGCAGGGATAGAGATTGTTTCCTTCCTGGTAACTGGTACAGTGCTGTGTTTTGGATTTGGGGTGAGAACGGTGTTGATAGCACACTGGTGTTTTGGTTGTTGCTGGGTAGTGTTTACACTAGTCAAGGACTTTCCAGCTTCCCATGCTCTACCGACTGAGAAGGCTGGAGGGGCACAAGAAGCTGGGAGGGGGCACAGCCAGGACAGCTGACCCAAACTGGCCAAAGGGATATTCCATACCATGTGACGTCATGCTCAGCATATAAAGCTGGGGGAAGAAGAAGGAAGGGGGGGGATGTTTGGAGTGACGGTGTTTGTCTTCCCGAGTAACCGTTACGTGTGGGGGAGCCCTGCTTTCTTGGGGATGGCTGAACACCTGCCTGCCCATGGGAAGGAGTGAATGAATTCCTTGGTTTGCTTTGCTTGTGTGCGCGGCTTTTGCTTTACCTATTAAACTGTTTTTATCTCAACCCACGAGTTTTCTCGCTTTTGCCCTTCCGATTCTCTCCCCCGTCCCACTGGGGGGGGAGTGGGCGAGCGGCTGCGTGGTGCTCAGTTGCCAACTGAGGTTAAACCACGACAAGCACTCAGCTCTCACAAGTGCCTGAGGCTTCTGAGTCTCAAGGATATCCCATTTTCAATGACAGATTAAAGGACCAATTAAAGGTTTGTTCAGTGCTACCAGTAGTCATGACAGCAAATGCCATTTTGTCCTTGTCTGCCATGTCTGCATTTGTCTTTTGAAGAATTCCTGTTTAATAGGTGCCCCAGAGATGCTGAGTTTGAGAGCATTGCCCCTAGCGCTAGTGGTGTCCAGGATCCCCAGGATTGCTCATCACAACACCTGTGGCTGCTTGGATAAGGGCACTGGTACATTCCCACAGGACAGTTGATCAGTATAAGATAATTTGCTCCCATAGCTCCAAAGGAGATAGCTTATTCAAAAAAAATTCTAAGCCATTTACTGCATGAGGTCTCTGCTGACAAGGAGAAATCCACTGTGTCCTTGGCTGAGATCCCAGAATTCACAAGGCACTTCTGTGTGACAAATCAGCCCGAGTGCTTGTGCCCTAGGAGAGATTTTAGTCTGGATTAGGTACCACAGACTTGTGTTGACTTTGCTCCTGGAATGGACACATATCTAAGAAATGCCTGTCACACAGTGGTCCAGACTTGCCAGCAGCTAGTAAGTATGGTAGACACAGGAAAGGTGGGGACAATCAAAATTGTCAGAAATTCCTACACTTTTTCAATTGGGAGAGGGCTTCAACCAAATCATGCATGAAGAAATCCTTATTGTTTTGACCAACAAAAAGTTTTTTGCAGATCTGTCTGTTCTGCAGTGGGAAAACACATATCAATAGGCTGAAAGATGCAAGGACTGCTCTCCCTTGCAGGAATCAGGTCTTCAGGTAAAAGTTTTGTTCCTCTTTATCAGGAGACCTTGCAAGACAACACCGTGATGGTATGGTGCACCACCTTGGCTGTATCTCTACAACGAAATTAAATGTCTGGCAACTTTGTGTGATTCTCAGGCCGAATGTTGATGTGTAGCATCTGTAGCCATACTGTTGAAAAGTCTTACCCTCCAAAAGAAGGTGCTTGTCTCTATACTGCCTGTTGGGGTGGTCCTTGGCTGTGCTGATTCCTAAACGGTGTCTGGAAATTGTTTGGGAGTGTGCTGGGCTAAGACCATGCCAAGCACAAAGTAATATGAGGTGATCAAAGTCAAATGCCTGGGAGCATTCCCTGGCACTGCTGAGTTCACTAATATAGCCTCTGTATCTCAGGATTTGGTTTCCTTGTTGTCAAACCAGTCTATTATCCTTGTATCTCCTCAGACTAAGTTATTCCCCAGAAGACCATTTCAGCAGAGATATTC